GTGTGTGTGTGTGTGTGTGTGTGTGTGTGTGTGTGTGTGTGTGCGTGTTTTGCTCACATCAAATGAATCAAATGTGCTTCCCCTGTGTAGCCATTTCTCTTGTTACCAAATGTGAATACAGACATCAAAGTCCTCCTGCTGACCCAGCATTGAAATATATTTGTTGTCATTTAAACAAGCCGAGGGGACACATGATCTCTCCAGAGAGTCCTTCCATTCCCTTGTCACTCCTAAGCCTCTGAGTTTGAGTGACAGAGGGAACAGGGTAGGGGTGCGGCCTCCTGACCCTTCTTTCAAGGATGGTCCAGCCCCAGGGGCTGCAAAGGCAGGAAAGTGGCTGTCTTTTTGTAGATGAATTTCTAAGCGGTCTTATTAAATAAAAAACATGGAGGTAAAAGTGAGAGATCAGGGAAATGGGGAAAGCCACCAGCCAACCTCACCTCACCAACTCGGCAGCTTCCAAAAGCCGTGACTTCCTGTTACCCAGGCACATATGCCTTGCTGTTCTGCCCTCTGATTTGCTCTCTCCATTCAGCTACATCACTTCCTCTTCCTGCCCAGCCCTGTCACTTCCTGTCTGCCTGTACCGAACCCCAGATCTCCATGGTTAACCAGTGTTGGAATTGAAGGCATGTGCCACCACACCTGGCTCTGTTTCCAGTGTGGCCTTGAACACACAGAGATTGTATCTGCCAAGTGATAGGATTAAGGGCGTGTGCTACCAGTCCTGACTTCTTTGTTTTCGTAAACTGGCTTGCTGTTCCCTCTGATCTCCAGGCAAGCTTTATTTATTAAAGCACAAATTGTTTTGCCCAGATCGAGGACCCCCAGAGAGGCCACCAAAGACGAGCATGCCAGAATGCAAAAGCAAGGTTTAATTCTGGATATCCAAAAGCAATACAAGCCTAGGCAGGGACTTCGTCCAGCAGATACAGCGCAGTTAAACACTAATTAGTTAAACCCTAATTCCCCTCGTATCTCTCCAGGGTCTCGTGCTAACACCATAGTATAAACTGTAGGGTAACATTCAGGCTCTCTCTCACAGCCTTGGAGAAAATCCAACGCTTTAAAAGTTCAAGGTCTAGTTAAAATCCCGCTGCTGGGCTGCTGCCTTCCTCCTCCCCCAGCTGCCTCTGGGCCTTGGCGGCTCTCCTGCATGGGCTGCTTTCTCTCTGAGTGCAGGGACTCCGGCCCAGGTGTTCAGCCTCTACTCTGGGTGTGAAGATAGCTACAGAGATGTCACCTCTAGACTCGGGTGGCCCTTGCCCTGTAGAGTCTTGGCTGGACCCGGAGTTGATGTGAAGCAGGCCCACAAGCTGAGGCAGCCGCAGAGGCAGGGTGGGCTGGGCACCGCGCTGTGGTAAGAGGACTGGATGCATGGACAGTCGGCAGAGAAGGACAGCAGGACCTCGTCACAGCTGGCACCGAGCCAGGCTGCCCTCCTCCCAGACCTCTTCAGCTGCGTGAGTCATGGCTTGCTGTGGCTCCACCTCCCAGCCCCTCTGCCTTGTAGCTCTGCCTTCTGCGGGACCTTGACAGCACCCCCTCTTGGGGCTGCTGTCCTCCCGAGTCACAGGGAGTGTGGCCCCCCAAGAAGGAATGACACACCAGTGAGGTTCGATTTTAACTGAAGTGGGAGGGAGCGCTCCAGCTCTTTGTCAGCTGCAGGCCTTTATGGCGGGATCTGTAATGCAGCGCATTTCATTAAATGGAGCTGCCTTCCTCATGCCGTAGACAGTTTAAATGAGATCTAACTCAGGCCGCTTTCCGAATGGCTATTAGACCTGACAGATAAAGGTGTCCCGTCTCCCTGGTGTGCTGTTTTGACACAGACACTGCAGAGGTACCAGGATATTTAAATGATGTGAAGCAATATTGTAAAAGAAGCTATGGGTACATTGTCACCAGCCCATCCAGCTGCTCCCTGTTACAGCCCTTGGACACAGCAGCCGAGCAGAAGCAAAGGCTTCTCCAGTCATCCTCCCATTTGGTCAGGCACAGATCCCTCTCTCTTGGGCAAAGAGAAGGGGCCTGGCAGCTTGTAACTGTGAGTGGCAAGTTCCTCAGAACTCCCCAGTGGTCACGGACCTTATGCCTCAGCCCTAATACTGTGCAGATGCTAACACACCTGAAGAATTCCAAGTACAGATGCTGTGAAATGAAAAAGTGTTTTCCTCACTCACAGCAGCTGTTGCTTTGTATGAGGATGTGAAGAACCGCTAGAAGAACATTCTTCAGAGAGTACACCAGCGGAGAACGCAGCCTGCCAAAGGGGAACACCCCATCCCACGAGCTCTGAGGAGCTGAGAACTTGCTTACTTCAGCTCCACTTTTCCGTGAGGGGGAATGATCGTGTTTGTAACGGCAAATTCAGGAAGCTTCAGGGCCAGCATGGTGGCTCACACCTTCATGGAGGCAGAGGCAGGCAAATCTCTGAATTCAGGGCCAGCCTGATCTACATAGTGAGTTTCAGGCCAGCTAGAGCTAGCTACATAGAAAGACCTAGTCAAAAAAATAAGTAAGTAAATAAATAGATAAATAAATCTTCCAGATTATTTGGTATTTCTGTCTTTTCACAGAAAGTAATTGGGTTTCTTCTGGGGCCTGGGCTTGCTACGCAAGGCGTGACTCTTCATTGGAGCAGCTCTCTTCAGGAAAAAAAAAAAATCCATCCAAAGAAATAACCTGATACAAGTGTTTACAGAGGTGAACATTTCTAATGTACACAAGAAACATCACTGAAGTAGAATATAATTTGAAAATGATGCTTGAAAAGAGGTGGACTACCAAAATACAGGCCAGTGATGGTGTGTGATTTGAATTAGTGAGTTGGACTTTGCCCACCATGCTAAATTCCTTCTTTTCCTTTGGGTAATACTTCCACCGTAAATCATACCATGGTAAAGTGTGAGTGTGACTTCAGGGTGTTGTTTGAATCTTAGATGGTCTTTTAATAGAAAATCTAGAGCCAAATATCAGGGTGAAAGCTGAAAGATCAGAGAAGCAGAACAGCCAGCCACTAGTTCTTACCTCCGTGAAATCCTCAGCCTAGAGAGAGTGAGTTCCTGTTTCCTCACACCTTATACACCTTTCTCCACCCTGCCGTCACTTCCTGGGATTAAAGGCGTGTGTGCTGGGATTAAAGACGTGTGCCACCACTGCCTGGCTCTGTTTCCAGTGTGGCCTTGAACTCACAGAGATCCAGATGGACCTCTGCCTCCTAAGTGATAGGATTAAAGGTGTGTGCCACCACTGTCTGGCCTCTTTGTCTTATCTAGTGGCTAGCTTTGTCCTCTGATCCCCAGATAAGTTTATTAGGGTTCACAATATATCACTGTTGCTGGAGGGCTTCTCTCCAGGTTCCACCAAGCCCCGCAGTCCCACAATCCACGTATAAAATAATCACTCAGATGCTTATATTACTTATAAACTGTATGGCCATGGCAGGCTTCTTGCTAACTGTTCTTATATCTTAAATTAACCCATTTTTATAAA